TATTATTATATTATATAATATTAATCGCTAAGAAACGTCTAGGGACCTTATTATTAGTAAGATCGAATATTTTAGAGAGTATTTACTTTAGTTATATAATATCCTTATCAGAAGGAGATATAATCAGGTAGTTATTAATATAAATTAGTATATAAATACAGCGGTTAGCTTAGGCCGTTAAGGTAACTATATAAAAGACGTAGTAATCTGCTTCAGATCGTATCCGAGTACTATAAATATATTATATACTACGTTATACTATTCCCTTAGGCTCTATTTAAGGCTATATAAGCTCTTTATAAGTAGACCGTATTTCGAAGGACTATACTATTTACGGATTCCTTTAGGAAGATTAATATAGATCTCCTCGGTTAATTTAGCGTTTAGGAAAGTAGATATAAAATTAATCGAATAATAGTACTATCTAAGAGCTATAGTAATAGCTATAAATAGCTTAAAGCTTATTACTTTAGCTATTAATATATAGATATTAAGGTAATCGACTTCCTACCGTTATTTAAAACCTTTTATAATAAGATAAGCTTTATAAGTACTATTATATTTAATCTTAAATACCTATCGAATCGGAATAGGCCTTTTATTCTTAGGGTACTTAATAACTTTCTAGGTACCGTTCTTTAACTACTTTTTAAGCTCCTTATCTACTATAATTTACTATTTTTCCTTATTAGGATATACTATAGCTTCTTTATAAGATACTAGTTTAGTTATATTCTTTACGATAGATTTAACTATACTAATAGTAATAGACGAGGAGTCTAATCTTAATATAGTAAGAAAGATACTTATATCGAGTCTTAAGGATATAGATAGTAAATCTATATTAGATCCCTCTACTATATTTTAGTAGTAAAGAGTATTAACGCTATCGTCTATAGTTTAAGTAGCGGCTACGAAACCTATAAGATATTACTAAGATTTAAGTATAGCGCGTAATAGCTTTTTAATATACTTTAATTATCTTATTAGAGGAGAAGAATCCTCTAGAACTTAATAATTAGAATTAATAGGACGGTTAATACTAATAATTTAGTTATTCTTATCCGCGTCTAAGAAGGCCTCGACAGGGCCTAGAAGGACTTCTAACAGGCCTGAAAAGGCTTCGGTTAGGCTTAAAAAGTTCTTATCTTACCTAAGTATAAGAATCGCTTCTCGCTAATATTTCCTTACGATAAAGGTTAATTAAGGAAGCTTCGCTCGCTCTAATAGCGGTAGATTACTCTAAGTAATAAATAGAGTTAGAATAATAGGCTAAGAACGTATATAGTCTAGCTAAAAAGACTACGAATCGCGCTAAAGAGAGATTTCTGTATCTAAGAAGTCTATAGGAATATAGCGTCTGTAATCGATAGATATAGTACTAGGCTACTAAGACAGAGTATCGAGATCGTAGACTAGCTTAGGTAGCTTATCTAGCAGAATCTTATTAAAAACTATATTCCTTAATATAATAATCTTACGAGAATAAATATTATATAAGCGATAATTACCGGCTTAAGAGTAGGTAACTAGGCGAGATTCCGCTATATAAGGCGATAGTTTAGAATAACGAAGTTCCTTTAGAATAAAATACTAAGCTTAATAGCCTAGAGTATATAGACTAGATATATTAGGTTACTTCCTATAGAATATTTTATAGGGAGTTATACTAATCTTTAAATACTAGAGCTAATTTATAGTAAAGTTAACTCTAAGGAGTAGCTTATCCTAGAGGTATTTTAGTAGCTAATTCTTAGTTAGAATAGCTACTAACGGCTTAATAAGCTAATAATTCTTTATCTCTATAAGACTATTACGCTATTTAGTATAGGATAGTACTAGATTCTAAGTAATACCGGAGATCTTATAATAATCTATAATTCTAATATATTCGCCGGTATTATTATCTATAATAGATTTAACTATATATTTAAACTAAGTCTTAAGGTAGATAATCGTCTCTTTAACTCGATTAACGATCTTATCCTTAGATTTAAGTAGGAAGACCTAATAGAAGCGAGATATATTATTAGTAATAGTCACGAAATAATGATAACTACCGAGAGCTATATAGGAGATTAGTCCCTAGATATCGATATATAATCGATCGCTAGGTCGAGTCTTAATAGGATTACCCTTATTATATAGGAGTATATAGCCTTTTCCTTAGATATAAGGCGCGTAGGAATATTTAATTCTAGTCTCTTTAATAAAGCTAATACTATCTAAAACTAATAGTATTTTAGTTACTTTTTACTTATCTATATAATAAGTATAGTAATATAGAAGATCTATATAGATCGGTTTCGGTTCCTTAGTAACTATATCTACGCGAATATAAGAGAGGGTTATTTTAGAGGATATAGCAGATATAGTATAAAGCTTTAAAAGCTACTCCTTACTATTATAGGCTATAAGCTAATATTAGCTATATTACTATTCTGTAAATATAATAATCGTATTATCCTTATTATATAAAGAGCTATAAGATTTACTAAAAGTTAAAGATAGATCGTTATCGTCTATAAGCTTAGCTATAGAGATTAAGTTATATATAAAAGATAGAATATACTATATCTTCTTAAGTAAAATCTTAGTTATCTTAAATATTTTAGAGTTACGAAGATTAAGGCTAATATCGCTATATCCCTCCGTTATAATATTATAACTATCTAGTAAGGAAACGCGAATACGGTAGGTTAAATATATAATAAAGGCGGCTTTAAATAGTATTATATAATTACTTATACTAGAGTCGAGTATCTAAATATACTAATTATTATTAGCGTTAATACTCGCGACTAAGAGCTAAGAGGTTATATACGCGGACGCTATACTTAGGAAGAATTAGTCGGCTTAGAATAATATAGCCGATATAGCTAGTAACTTCTAGACCTCCTTCTTATCCTTATCCTTAGACAATAAGGAAGTTACGGTAGCTACAGTACTACTAGACTTATTCTAATCCTTAGATCTCTTATAATTCTTACTCTTAGGATTCTAGAAGTAGTCTTAAGTACTATATTTACCGTAACGTTTATAAAAGTAGTACTATTTTAGATCCGAGCTTAAATCTTTCGAGTTTAAATCCTTCGAGTCGTTACCGTCCTTTTTACCGTTCTTCTTAGACTTCTTATTTAACTTAGTAGTAGCTATAGCCTAATAGTAGTATCTCGATAACTCGAAGGAAAGGAATTCTATAAATATATCTTATATTAAGCGAGGACTATCTATATCTGGATTATAGTATATAATAAGTAGCTTAGTAGATAGATATAAGCGAATAGCTTTAATAAACTAACCGTACTAAATCGTCTCTAGGAGGATAAATTTCTTAATTACTTCCTATAGCTCTTAGAAGGTTTTCTACTACTTCGTAATAAAGATACTAGCGTTATCCTTCTAACGGTAGTAATAAGTCGCCTATTCGCTATATTTCTATTAGAAGGATTAGGCGCTTACTTAACCGAAAGTTAAACTAAGAGCTTTAAAGGCCTATAGTAAAGATTCGTATTACTAAATAAAGATTTTAATAGAATTATTAAGAGATATAGATAGGAAGTATAGGTATACTATATTAGTCTTTCGATAGAACTACTAATTCCTTATTCTTTTTAAGGATATAAGTCTATATCTAAACCCGAACTTCCGTATCGGTAATATTTTAAGGGTTAATACCTTACTTATTAGCTAAGATATTTCGTACTTCGGACTAATAAGGAAGGTTAAGAGAAATATTAATAGGCGGATAGTAAAGACCGGTAATAATAGGCTAATAGTTAAGATCCTTATAGTTAAGGAATCTCTTAAACTCTGTCTTCTAAATATCGAAATTAGAATCGCTCTTTAGTCTAGGGATATAATCTTAAATCTTTTCTATGTTAATAGTATATATATATAAGAGCTTTAACCTATAATAAGGTCTTCGAGAAGCCTTCGAAGTAGCTCGGAGCTACAGAGGGAGATAGCGTAGAGCCTAGGAATCGGCGCGGAGCCGTGAGGTTAGCGTAGAGCCTAAGAATCGGCGCGGAGCCAGGAAGTTGGCGTAGAGCCTAAGAATCAGCGCGGAGCTAAAGGAGTTATAAAGTTACTAGTATCGCGACGTAAGTATTAAGCTATAGCGTATGTAGGACAGAAAGGTTGGTGTTAATAACCTCACTAGCGCGCTAAGCAGGGCTCATAACCTATTTAACTGAGGATCTTACGAAGGAAAACCCTTAAAGGTAAAAAACACTCGACGTTAACTAGGAGAGGAGGAAGAAGGAAGCTAAGCTAGACTACTAAGGTTGGTGGTCCTAGGTAGTAGGGGCGTAGCCCATATATATGCCAGGCAGTATGGCAGGCCTCACCACAAACACTTATATCGCGAGCGGCCAAGCCCCCGGATCCGTTTGAGCCTCCTATACATGACTACCGGCGAGGGGGAGTGTTTGGCCCAACACTATTCCAACTGCCTTTTGTCTGAGAGACAAACCTTGCCATCTATGTTGAACTAAGTTCACAGTACTTGTTGGGAGGTTGCAGAAGGTGCTGCATCACCATATGAGAGAGGGATGAGTGTGAGATTGACTGGCCAGGAGAGATTCTATATAGGCTATGGACTGCGGTGAGATGGCAGTATCACATGCCATACGAAAAATACCCATACTAGATGAGAATCTGTCATTCCAGTCCAACAGACATCCAGGGCTGAGTTCATCTTACGCCGCGGCATCGAGGTCGGTGTATCAATGTTAGGATGACGTGGCTCTACGCTGACAAAAACAACGACAGATAGATTGCATAAACTCAAGACGGGAATAGTCCAACGCTTGAACTGTGACTCCTTTGCTCCTGCGACACCCCCAAAACGTAAAGCCAAATCAGAGTGCAGATGAGGTCGTCAGAGAGCGTGCTTCTAAGGCCTCGTTTAAAATCTCTGTCGACCCTCGAACGGAAGCTGATAGAATTCGCATTGCGCGCTTGTCTTACACCAGACATATGCTTGAATGTTTGTCGTTCTATCCTGCTTGTGCGGTGAGCATAGCGATTTGACCGTCCATCCGCTCGATAAGGGCTGTTGTGTCCCTGTGCGATGTGGCTTTTGCCGCCGTGTCTCGTAAGAGCCGCATATCGCTAAGATAAGCATAAACAGGATGCTTTTGTGCCCTGGTGCCAGGCCTTGATGATTCGACATGTCTTCGAGCCTTGGACAGCTCTGCAGCGTTAATACCGCGTTGGCATGTCCAAGAGCACAAACCCGCACACACGTTGCGCAACGCTAACGGTGCAAGATCGACCAGAGAATGATGCACTCCATCTTCGTCGCGGATGGCGTGCAAGTCGATCCAGTGGCAGATAGCTACCATGTCATGCAAAGCACGCAAGCTTTCGTATTCCACGCGCGTCATGGTCATCTCTGCAACCAAGGTGCCGCTCTTGTGGAGACCGTATTCTGCAACTAAGCACTCAACGTGCATCAGACAGTTGATCTCAAGTGCCCACAGCACCGCTCGGTGAAGGTGAATGTATTTGTCTGGTTGTGGCTCTCGTTGATCCTCACTCGAAGACTGAGGTGACACTGTCCCCGGATCTGTATTCTGTCGCCTCAAATGTGGGGGGCAGGTGTGAGCTCTCCATCGATCAATCAGTGCATACACATCGTGTACATCTTGAGCTTCAATCCCACGACGTTTGGCTGAGTTGTTACCCAGCCGCCGCATAAGACTTCGAGAGACGACTGCAAGTTCAAGAACCGCGTCGGCAAAGTCACTGGCCTCAAGCCGAGGGAACCTGCTCGTATCGCCTGCATCCTTGTTGGAGATCAGAGATATTTGCTTCCGATCCAAGCACTGAAAGGCGTCGAGACCATAGACATGCCAGTACAGTAGCATGCGTCGCTCTGGTCCGCGCGATACTGTCACTGTTGAGTGTGCTTCTGCACAGCTGCGATCGGTGACACGATAATGAAGCAGCATCATGACAAGCGATTCGTGCTTCAAGAAAAGTCTCCCGAGGTTCGACAGAAGCGGTGGGTTGCCCGTGTCTGTATACTCGAAATTTGCCATGAGAGCCAGTGCCTCCAGATCATCAACTCTGACTGTGTTCTCGTTGGACGTGGCGCTTTGCGTTTCAAGGAACGCTTCCCGAAATTCGCATGCAAACCGCTGTTGAAGGTCCCATTTGTTCGAAAGGGTTGTGAAAGGCATACCCCGACAAGCTATGGCAGATACCAAAGCACGACTGCAGAGATTCCTGCGGTAATCGTGCCAGAAAGCGTCTTCAAGGATGACCGGCAGCCATGGCGCTGCAAATTGAAAGTAGCAATGCAAGGCGAGATTGATAAAAGTCGCTGAATTATCAAAACTATTCAACCAAGGATATTGTTGGTTAATATCTGCTGCATCTGGAGCTTGCATATCGTTGTCATTCGGCTGTGCATCGGTGGGGTTATGGGCCTGGGCGTCTTGACTTGCAACCATTTCCTGACCCAGCCATTCTGTTGATCCGATTCCTCCTTCCATGAAGACTTGATCGAGAAAGACAAGGTTTTCGTGACTCAGTCCAAGAAGCGTGCCGTCAGCGAATATATCGGCGGGGAAGACGTCGCCTTCATGGTGACTGAGATTATCCGCAAGCACAGTAGAATTAGGGGCCATCGGAAGATCGGAACTGGGTTGCGCGGACCCTACAATACTTGGAGCCGTTGATAATGTGACAACATCCGACGGCCCTTCCATGTTGGCCTCCTGCGTGATTCTGCGACTACTTCGTCTTTTTGGTGGATTGGAGGCATCACTCATGAGACACGATCTCTGGCGCATAGAACACTGTGTACAGGACGGAACACCCTGCTTTGCGTGCATAGAGCGATCGCATTTCACCTTACGCCGGTAGCAGAAATCGCACGATTCTCGTGGCAGACCTCGCTTGATCGGCATTTTCCCTTATTGCGAGATTGTTTATTATTGATAATGCTGGAAGTAAAGGCTTGCGGCGGATTGTCTAGTCTCCGTCGCGGAGGTTCCGTGACGGAGGCTCCGCTCCCCTTTGAATTGGCCATTACATAACAACTTCCGCGGGGGCTTGACGGCGATTGTGTGCCACATTGAGAATTTCCTTTCAATATGATGCTTGAGAGACGATCCGCCGTGCTTGTCATTTTCCAATTGTCTTGCAAAGGGCGGCTGGAAGGTGGGTTGAAAGTGTTGGACTGACATGAATGCTTTTGTTCAATCCAGTGACCGAGCAAATGTTCGAAGACACCCACGAGAAATCCCCTGCCGTTGTCAATGTGGCCGCCGACAGAATCACACCTTTTATCAAGACTGGATAGGAGGTAAACAGCCATGAAGATGCCTCGCATAGTTATTCTGGTACACAATCACTTTGCAGGTGTTCTATTCTACGCAGTCACAACCTCGATGTATCATGTGAGCGGAAAAAATGTTACGGAGGTTCCGCGGAGACTCACGCCTCCGGCCGCTCGAAGACATCGAGGAACTTCCTCAGAACTACTTTAAAGTGAAAGCTCAAAGAAAAGATGAATCCGTTTGTTCCGTCTGGAAACTATTTAATTGATTTCGACTGGTGTCAGTCTGACTTTGATTGAACGCAGTGTAATAACAGCATCTTCCAGCTTCAGAATGTCCGCTTCAACAGATCAGTATGGCTATTTGCCAAGCACGCCGCCAGCCTTGTTTGCTATTGTTTATTTTGGCATTGCGGTGATTGCAATTGTCACGCAGACTATCTTTGGGAAGTACACGCACTACTGGATATTCACCCTTGCCCTCACACCCGCGGGTGAGGCTATTGGTTGAGGGGCACGATATTGGGCTCACTCCAATGTATGTTTCTCCTGCTGACAGAAATGTGAAATGGTGATTGTTTGTATAGGTTCTTGATTTCAATTTAGCCAGTTGATTGGATGCCATATGTGATTCAATTGTGCAGTCTCATCGTATGCCCGGTCTTCCTTTCTGCAACAAACTATATCCTGTTTTGCAAGATGTGAGCTGCCTGCTGCCCTGCGAGTCCTCGCTGTTCTCTCGTGACGAAGCTTTGCTCACTCGAGATTCAGTGCTGAGAAGACTGGACCAAAGCTCTTCCTTATCCCGAATCGGATCTACTGGATTCTATTTGTGATCCTGGACATCATTTCTCTCACCATTCAGACGATCGGGGGAGTCATGACATCGAACGCAGAAAACTTTGCCGACCTTGACTACGGTTCCAACGTGATGCTAAATGGAATTATTTCCCAATTCAGCTGCACGGTCTTCTTCGTGGTCTTGGTTGCAGGGATGATTTTCAGGTCTCGCGCAAAGGGCATAACCCTGGTCTCCGTCGCGGGTTGGCCAATCATGATAACATTGTGGCTATCGGCTGTTATGATCTTGATCCGCAATGGGTATCGGATTGCCGAGCTACATGACGGATGGAAGGGGCATTTGATTCGAACAGAATGGTATCTCATTGCTTTTGACATGGCGCCTATGGCGGTGGCGGTGGCAGCATATATTGTGATCAGTCCATCCCACTGTCTTTCGAATGACAAGAAGGTGGAAGAACACAAAAGGGCTCGATTGTCGGATTGCATTCCCCATTGTTGATATGAATCACACGGGTGTATGATCTTGCGAATAACTATATGCGCCACAATTTACTCTTCAATTGCTTAATCGAGACCAATACCGAAGTTGAGAGTATAAGTCTTGAGGACCCTTGACTAGCATATTAGTAGCACACCCCGTGTGTCAATTCAGCCACATATGGTATATGAGTATACAGAGGATGATCTTATTGCATTTATATACCCAACAAGTGCCGTAAACCGGCATTCAGGCCCTCCCAGCAAAGGACTACATTCTTACTTTTTGCTCTCCGGTGAATCCCCGCCGCGCCGTCGATTAGGGTGTGAATTGACAGTTCTACTATAATTCGCTTGCCGCAACTAATAAAGCAGCCCTTTCTGAAGCTTCAGGTTAGTCCGGATCTATGATCTGCGCAGACTTGCCCCTACCTTCTTCCCAGGCACTAAGATACGGATTTGTTACCTTGATAGCGTCTATTCTAAGGATCGACGGTACTATCATTCTCTCTCTCTCAATACTGGAGCCTAAGAATCTCGAAGCAATATGAGCTGATTGAATAATTTCCGCATCTCGTCGGTATCTAGTCTAAGGCCCTTTACGAATTTAACACGTCCTTCACTCTGCGCTTAGGAATCAATTGCACAATCTTCACAACGTGTCAGCGACGAACCTCTTCTCTTGACAGCAAGTTGAAGACCAAAGCGGTGATTGAGAGGCAGCTGAAGAGCGCCACCGTCCGCGCCGTCCTTATTTCCATCGTGCACGATGTATGGGTGCTCGTCAAAATCAAAGCTGTGGCTAGTGATCCCACGGACTGGAAACGTGTTCATCACTCATGGTGCGGCGAATGTTGGATGCCGAATGGGATGCGATTACGCTGGCGTTGTGGATGAAGTGGGGAGCGAAATCTCCAATTGTTTTGCCAAAGGCAATGTATTGCGGATTGGTTTCATGGCTCGTCAGTGAAAAGAGCCCAGTCTTTATTCCAGGCGCTCTTGTCTCCTGCTCTAACAGGTAATCATGGGATAGGAGCCGAGCGAATCATGAATCGGGTTTCTTTGGCGAGTATGCCATTGCGAAAGCTGCTCACCTCACAACTTTGACTTGTTCAAGAGCCTTGGCGCTGCTGAGATCAAGGAACTCACCAAAAGCTGGATGAATTATGCATGGGACTGCACGGGAGAAGAGTGCAGCAATCTGCGCGCAAGCCATGTCGGACATCAAGCCAGACACCTACGACACTACAATGCCCGCCGATGAGAAATCGTTGAAAGTCTTGAACGCCAATGTCCACGGCCAGAACATGTTTTGCGGGTACGATGCCATGGGGCGAGAAGTATTATCGGATCGGCCAGACGCCAGTCACGCCCAAAGCAGAACAAATGCAGATTTAGCAAATGTCCTTGTCGCTCCAGGCCCAGCCACTTTTGGCAAATGGAAGCATCAAGCCCCTTCTGGCGACCGTGAAGATTTGAGGCAGTGGACTGGACGGGGTGCTGAAATGTCCTGAAAGAGCCGCAGCGGGCAGTGTTAGCGGGCATAACCTAGTTTACACACTTGAATAGTGTGAATATAGAAGCCTTCCTCGAGAGAGAGCTATTTGGCAAGGAATAGCCATCTAATGCATTCTTTCCAGTCACTTCCTCGTATCCAGAAAGGTATTTCACTGATGTACACCACGCAGGATGGCTCTGTTTGTATATCTTGCACGTGGGCATGGTACCTTTCCTTGGAGGGTCTGGCCATGCTACTCATAGTTGGTGCTCAGCGCAACATCCTCCTGTAAACTCAACTCGCCCGCCCATTTGTCGCAGCTTTTCTTCATTCTTGCATATGCATCACTTCCGAGAACAAGTCGAGTGACCTTACCCATGAGAGGTCCAGCCATTCCAGTACCCGTGACGGCCTCAAAGATACGCTCAACTCCCTTTTGGGGATCGCCAGGCTGCTTTTGGTGGACCGTGAGGAATTTGCGCATAACCATGCCCACCGGATCATCGTAGTGTGGAGGAACCGAAGCCGGGTCAGGGCTGGCTTCAGCCAACTGTGAGACCAATGAGTTAGCACGAAAGTACTATGTTCAAAGAGCCAGTTAGGACGACGTCCGCAAAACTTACGGCGCCCACAAAGTTTGTGCGAAAATTGCCAGGCTCAACGATCAGCACCTGGATGTTGTGAGGTGCGACCTCTTTCGAAAGCCCCTCGGATGCAGCCTCCAACGCGGCTTTGGAAGCACTGTACAGAGAGCAGGCCGGCAGAGGGTCGCGGGCGGCACCACTGGAAATGTTGACAATGGTCCCAGACTTTTGGGCACGCATCACTGGCAGGACCGCCTGCATGGTGTACAGCGGACCGAAGAAATTGGTGGTCATTTGAAGGGTGGCATCGTTGTCACTGGGTCAAGTTAGATTGATGATTCTTGTCCGTCTTTCTGTTGGTAGGCTCACAACATACGTGATCACCTCACAGGCGGCCAAGATGCTGTAGCCGGCAACATTAACTAGATAGTCGATACGGCCAAGGGCGCTGATTTTTTCTGTAATGCTTGACTGGGACTCTGTCATGTCCAACTCGATCACCGAGCCTCCTGCCTGATTGATCTGCTCAACCGCAGGGGCGGCCTTGGTCTTGTTGCGAACAGATCCAATCACCTGATGACCTGCCCGCAGGACGTGAAGACACATGGCCAGGCCAAAGCCATTGGAGGCCCCCGTTATGAGCCATACCGGAGATGACATTCTGTACTGACTAGAGGAATATGATAGAGTCAGTTGCGGTGTTGGATGATGTACACCCTGTCAGTGTAGATATTAGAGAAATTATGCAGAGGAAAAGACTCCGCCGTGTTGCTCACAGGGGTTCTGCGTCGATTTACATAAGGTCTCGACACGCGCGGTCTGTGCCTCAAGGCAGGATTGCCGAGTCCGGGGGGTCTGTCATTCAGGTAGTAAGTAAGCTAAGACGGCCAGGTCATTTTTGAGCCGCTAAGAATATTAGCAGCATGAGGGGTAAACAATTGGCAACTGCACATCCTAGTAGTGAACAAGCAAGGTACAGCAAAGCCTCGATCTTCTACTTCTCCCTTCACATGTACGTGTACATAATTCTTTGGACCACTGGCCAACGGCAGTCTGCAGTCTGCACAGCCTTCGCGTAGGTTTTCTAATCTGATGGGCGGAGTTAACACTTTCAGGATGTACTATCACCGGCATCTGGATCTTATCTCCGCCCTCGGCATGCTTGCCGTGCCATGTAGGGTTGACCCCGACGGCGTGTCATAATAAAACAAAGTGATTTTGTCAAGGGCTGATACGCTTACTGGTTGAATTACAGCTTGTGCTCATTCTACTGTAATCTCTCTGTACTTCGTACGACACAAACGTCTTTCCTCATTACTTCATCATGTCGACATGTCTTATTTGATCTTTTCGCTCGCATCTCCATGTAGATCAAGGCCCGACCCCAGCTGACAGCAAAACTGCTAGCTAAGGGCTTACACAGACTCTCTAACAAATCTCTAGGTCCACGAGCTATTCAACAGACCTGCTTAGGGGGTCAGGGCTTTATGAGTATGACTACTAATCTCCATCTTAGAACTTCGGAAGCACGTGATCACAATGATTGTTCCGCGGAACACGCCGCCTAACCCCGGCTACCCCAGACCCACCCGGCAAATAATTGTTCCTGACCGGGTCACCTAAATCATATCTTCATCTTGTCGGCTAACTGCATACTAACTTCCAATCGGCCTGCGACGTGATATCACTTACTCCGCCTTCCAGATCCTCAACATGCTTCCAGACTTCTTGCAGAGTAGCTATGCACGCTACAAAGCAGATACTAGTACATTTGCGACTTGGCTTCTGGAGACAGCCCACCAATGCGGCTATCAACCACCGTTTCTCGCCGATGCCCTCCCCCAGGCCAGTAAGGGCAAAGGAAGAAGCAGAAAGAAAGGCAACCAAAGAGCCAAGCAAGGAGGCAAAAAAACGAACAAAGTCAAGCCCAGCATCGGCGATTCAGATGCAAATCCGATTCAATATAGCGCAACCACTAAAGACCTGCAAAAACTCGCCGAAGTGATAGCGGGTTCTTCTCTCGCGGTACCCAGATCAATTCTCACAATTGCGAAACGCGCCATCAAATTGAGGAAGACAGTCACTTCTTGGTTTTTGGGCAGGGGTAACTCTGCATATACCAATCAGCATGCTCATTTCATCACGGTGCTGGAACAAATCTGCGAGGTTCTGGAATGGAAGACTTCCAAGACCTCAAAGCAAGACGCCAAGCAACCACCGCCACCGAAATCTGAGGAGGAACTTGATGATGCCAATAGCGACAGTTTTTTGAACAGATTCGCTGTGCTCACAGTCGAGGAACCTCAGGAGACCACCGAGACCCAAGCGACACCCGTCGAAACCAAGAAGATAGTCAAGGTCAATGATGTTGAAGAGGACGAAGACGAGGAAGCAGACTCATTACTCGGTCAATTGCTTTTCAAGTCTCTCTGCCTGCTTCAAGATTTGAGCAACATAAGGAAATTTATTTCTATAACCTGGGCGGAGTATCGGGATCAAAAGATTGACCTCATGAATGCCGCTATCGTGACTGATAGTGCTTTGAAACTTGCTAGAGATCTCTCGCGGGAGGTTGAAGCTGACTGGCGCGCTACTCTTCCGAAGAGGCGGGAAGGTTTCCAGGACATTATCTATAAAATCGCTGTCTTCAACCGCGGCATCTCCGGTGGTCCATCGGCCGAGATTGGCTTACCATACAATAAGCATATAGCTAACGAGGCCGAGTGGTGCTATATACCAACGAAGATTCTGCTGGATTCCTTCACAGACGTTCTCGAGGATGGTTATCTACCAGTTTTCAAGAAAGGTCACTTTGGCCACTATGATCCGCAAGCGGACCGAGAGCGAATGTCGCTCAGACAGAAGTTCAACGAGGACAAGATTCTCCTTTGCTCGATCTTGCCAGACTTTTGCATGATGGAGCCACTCAAAATTCATTTACCCACCGAGGATGCAATCACGCAAGGCCTTACCGAATATGCTCGAACTAAAAGGGTTACTTTATGGCTTTCATTTACCTCTCAGAGCTTCCTTGATATACATCATATTATACGGCACACCCCTTCGGGTGCCTTTAGAGACCTCCAGATATCTAGGATACGCATCAACGAAACTATCGAGGACTATTTCCAGCTCGCCAAAACGCACCCCAGTCCCAAGTTCTAGCCAAGAGAGGGTAACAGGGAAATTCGAAGTATTGGATTAGCTATGAAGTCATGGATCATTAGGGATCGTATCCAAGAACTTCGATCTCGATCCAAAATCGGCGGAGTTAGCGTACCGCCCGAAAAACACGAATTTTTCATACAGCATTCTATTCTATATAGCTTGTTCCTATTCAATCTCAATATGAGAATGAAGTCAATCGGCCAGCAGCTCGTTACACAGTGGTACGACGTCCAGCAACTGGCCTATTTACACAACCTGGTCATCAAATCTCCAACGTACCAAAATTTAAGGTGGCCTAATATAGATGCATTCCTCAAAATCCATGGCGAGTCTCACATTTTCATTGGTTCACGGCCAAAGAACGCCAGAGAATCGCTGAACCGGCTTGAGTTGGCCACGGGTATCTCGTCCGCTACAAACTTTGCTCGTGACTCCCGGAGTCAGAGATCTCACAAGCCCAACAGCAAGAATACTCGCGTGCTAAAGTCTACTACTACAGTCGCAGATTTGTTCTTCGCCTCGTATATCGGGGGTCCCGAGGAGGATAGGGGTATTGCAAATATCCACAGGATTCTTGACGAGCTTTCACGACACTCGAACATCCAGTCACCCAGCAAGGCGCTTAAGAAATCCAACCCCGAACTGATCATTACCCGCAAGTGGTCCAATACCCACAACATTAACCCGCTGTAGCTTCTCGCCTTCCTGAAGACCAAGCTATTCGAAGAAGAGCCTGTCATCCTATACAACTACATTAGCATGTATATACGCTCAATTGAGTTGCTCAGGCTGATTCGGGACAAAGAGAACGACAAATTTGTTCAATACTTCACGCCAGAGTACATGCCTGATGAGTCTCTTATCTCAAATATCGTCATCCTGATTCATCACGTTGCGGAAGGCTCGGCCCAACAGGCGCGTGAGCTCGGCCTTGTTTCTGACGAGGCCGGGGCAGTCAGCCGTATTGTGGTGAGTGCTGGCGACGTGATGCGGGAATACTTGGAAAAGAATGGCGATGTTGCATGCAAAGAGCTGAGGACCTTCTGCAAGAACAAAAAGCCCATTCAAGATGATGTCGCTCATGACAACGACAAATCAAACGAGCTAGTGTATTCTTGGCTTAGCCTTGAAGACGTTCTGGGTGCCAAGGGCGTAGTCTCTCTCATGACTGGCATTCCGATAGCTTAGACGCACGGACTCAGTGCCTGCTTGATATCAAAGGGCGTTTTAACGCTGTTGAATCTACTTCAACTTCTACCTGTTATAGACCATATATTATTATCACGGAAAGTTCAATCTTTCCTACTAAAGTTAAACCATTAATCTGCGCGCCCGCCGTTATCTAGGCGTTTTTTAATATCCAGTCGTCGTGGTCTAACGAAGGTAGCTACAGCGTTTCTTACTCTCAATTTTTGGGACCCTGAATAAGGCGAGGTTCTCACCCTTCTATAGAAATTCATTAATGCCATCATAAGTATTAACGTAATAACCGAGTGAGCGCTACACCCAAGCGGGCGATACAGCTGCATCAACGCATCAACTTTGAATTCAATTTGCGCAACCAAAATTCAGAATTATTTACATTTGACGATTGGGGCATCGATTAACCTTATGGCCAATCTCCCTACAGCCACTACACCTCTGCGGACCCCTTGGTGCGCGCGTGGTAGGCGTTCCTGCCTGCTGATCATGCGGCTGCATCTCTGCACCTTCAACCCTCTCTGGCTGATTTCTCGCGTCCAATAGATCAAGAGCCTCCTGAATTGATAGTCCTCCTTCGTGTAGGAATTAGCGCCTTGATCTTGATGCTTTTTGCGTCTTTCTGGCGTTAGTTACGAGTAGAGCCGCCTTTTCTTTCTGATTAATATATCCTTAAATTATCGCCTTATTATATCCTTTTGTAAGCTTATCTACTACCCTTTTAATCGGAGTAGTAGGTTAAAGCCGATTAATAATACGAAGCTACCTCTTAACCTAATCAGTCGTTCTAGGCGTTTCTAGCTCTATCTAACTGAATCTAGTACCTAGTATTAATTCTAGCTACGGTATCGGGGTAGGCGTACAGACTATATTCGTATCAGCTATAACCGATATATTCAAATTTTTAAGGACCTAGCTAGGGTCTAGAGCCGTAATTCCTACGGCTCTAAAGGCTAATTTAACTATATCGGACTTAAACGCCTCCTTACGCGCTATAGGGTATTAAACTAAGAATTTAACCTTATCGATATAACCGAAATTAATATACTATAGATCACTAATTATACGGCTATATACGCATTTAAGTAGTATAAAGTAGACTATATTAAGTAGCTATAATAGATATAATAAGTACGTAGGTATATAGATTAGTATAATCTTATATAATTCGTAGGCTTAATTAAATTTAGGTATAAGATAGCTACTATAGCCGTCTAAGATTAGTAATATAAATTAACTATAGCGGCGATACTAGATTACGGGTATAAAGTAGTCTTTAAGCTATCGGAGACTAATCTTATTAGTAGTCTAGCTATTACGCGAAATTTTAATACGCTAATCGCGTAGTATCGGATGGTTATAAAACTATACCTCTTAGTAGACCTTTACGGCGAAGATAACATAAGACGGAAGCGTATAGCTATTAGCATATATAGCTTTAATTATAGTAACCTACTCGCGATTACTAGACTATAATACCGATCGGCGGCTATAGTATTTGGATCTAGTAATTATCTTCGCGCTTATAGTCTAGCCTATTATAAAGCCGGTCTTATTAAAGTTATAGATATCTTCCGGTACGATACCGTTTTCGGTAATAACGCGTTTAATATTCTGAGAACTAGGCGTTAAGGGTCTCTGGATTCTTATTTTAAGCCCTTTTATAATCGTATCGCCTAGATTATATAAGACGAAGCTCTAGATACTATTAAATAAATCTTAAAGGCTAATCTCTACTAATCTAATCGGTAGGCTAATTAGTAGACCGGCTATATACCGTAAGCAGTAGATTCGCTATATCGCGCAGCTAATTAAGCCTAGGTATAGCACCGCGAGAGTTAAGAGAGAGAGCCTGTTTTAGAAGTATACCCTCCTTATTTTCAGTTATTTTAAGCGAATTTACGCGTAAATCAACACGCGTAGGCCTACCCTTAAGACACTTACTTAAGGTAGTATACGATACTTAAAGGTACCTTATAGCTATACGAATTAATAAGATTTAGCCGTTTCGGTAGGCTCTAGCTACGAGTAGAACCCTACCCTCTTACTCTACTAACTTTAAGCGATTTACCTACCGATTTAAAGATATAGTAGGTAGTTGAAGTTAGAAGGTTGAATCTCTTAGCGCGTTTTAACGCGACTATATCGCCCGCTTACGTATAGCGCTCACTCGTTTATTACGTTAAGTCCTATCAACCTTCTTTATGCGAATCTCTAGATAACTACTATAGCGTTGACCGACCTGTGGATGATATTATATTACTTAATAAGTTCTTCCTCTATAAATAAATAATCAAGAAACCCCTCCTAGCTAACTATAGTATTACACCCTAATATAACTACTTAGGACTATCAAAAATATATCTCTTTGATATCCGTAAGCTAGGACTAAGGAGTCAAGATACTATAACTCCTAGGTAGTATAGCTACGGGAACCTTCGTATAGAAGAAGGAAGGTAAAGTAACTATATCCTATATAACGAAGAAACTAAGACGAAGGGGAAAAAGGAAAGGAAGAAATAAGAAAGACGAAGTACTATCTTAAATACCTATTATAGGTAGGACTATAGTGTTATACGCGAGAATGGAAAAGCTTTAGAAGGACTCAGAAACTTTTATTTAACTTAGCTACGTGGTATCAAGAATCTCAAAGGCTAGAGAGGAGAAAAAGAAAAAGGAAGCGGCTATAGTCCATCCTGAGTTTTGAGATAGTACGTATAGTATACGTGGCATACGTGATAGGCGTGGTATACGTCCTCTATCCTCCTATATCCTATCCTCTCTTTATATCCTAGGTTAGTACTACTATACTTATAATATTACCCCCTTCTTTAAAGGACCTAGTCCTCTAGGTCTTTGAATTCTAGTACTAGTAGCGTTAGTATTATATTATTCTTAAGTAACCGGTTTATTGTTATCTTCGTGGTCGTTATTAACTTTATCCTTTAGTACCGCTTTAGCCTAATTCTATAGCCTTTTCGGTAGTCCTAGCTAATTAGGGTATTCCTTATAGAATTCTATAACCCTCTCTAGTAAATTCTTAAAGTTCCTTATAGGATACTAGTTATTATTATATTTATATCCTTTCTACTTTACTTAGTACTATAACTTTCGGTAATATAGCTATACTACGAGAATCTTCTTAACTTCCTATTCCTACTTATCTTTAATAATCTCTAGTAGTAGTTCCGGATCCGGTAGTTAGTCTTATAGCGGTTCCGATTTTAATACTTTTTATAGCTTATCTAGTAAGAATATTAGATATATCTTTATAGAGTCCGGTAGTTCGATCTTATATATATTTCCTACTTTTTCGAGAATCTTAAAGGATCTGTACGCCTAGTAAGCTAATTTATAGCTAGGCTAAGGAGTTTTCTAATTTTTCGAAGTTATATAGACTATATCTCTAATACCGAAATCCTTAGGTTTATAATATTAATTAGTATATTCCTTATAGTATCCCTATACTATAGTCGCTTACTATTAGACTTACTCCTAAATCTCTTTTAAGTTACTAGTATAGTCTTATACTATATAAACTTCTCCCGAAGGGTCCTCTTAATAAAGTCGAGATTAAATATATTACTACTAATTAAGCTCTTTTAGTATCTCCTAGTCGAATAATACTCTAGATTTATAATCCTATTCTATATAAAAGGACGAGATACTAGTTATCTCCTATAGTAGTACTATAATAGTAAAATCTACTATTATAAGATAGTCGGACTAGTTATCTTAATAATAACTTATAAAGGACTATAGATATTAAGCTATATATTAATTCGTAATCTTACTTTAACTATTAGTTTATAGATAGTATACTATTAATAATTTCTTCTTAATATTAAGGATTCTATAGAATTCCGTCTAAAATTCGGATATAAACTAACCTCCGCGGTCTAAGATAATCGAATCCGGTATCCTAGTCTAGTAATAAATATAGTTAATAAAGATCTATATAGTCCTTTTTATATCGATATCCTTATAGTAGGAGATAGAGATTAGTCGCTTTATTAGTTAATTAATAAAGACTATAACTATATTATAGCTATACTTATCTCGAGGAAAGGAGCGGTAATCTATAGTAATATACTACTATAGCTAGCTAGAGATCAGAAGTAGCTTTAGCTCGCTAGGTATCTTATTCTTCTATACTTTAGTTTACTTATATAATTAATAGTTATTAATATACTATCTTATATCCTAGCAGAGCTCTAGCTAATAGTATTATAAAGTAGCTATTTAGTATATCTTATCTTATCCCGGGTAAGCTATTAATAGTTAATAGTAAATCTTATCGAGGAGTCTTACCTATAAATTACTATTATCGGGAACTATAAGTTAAGTTCTCTCCTAGAAGAGATAACCTTATTTTAATAACTACTTACTTAAATTATTATTTACTTCCTTTCGATATTATTCGAGGCTTTTATAATTCTTATTTACTTAGAGGATTTACTCGATAATACTATTTTAAGCTATATTAACTAATAAGACTATAGGATAGACCCCTTCCTCGAGTTTCTCTCTTAGGATTATAATCTATTTAGGCTAATCCTTTATCTTTAGTATCTTCTCTTTTCTTAATAGTATATCAGTAATAATATTACTTCTACTATTACGGTATTTAATAATAAAATAGTACCGTAATAGTACCTCGGTCTAATATACTTAACGAGTATTAAGCTTCTTACCTATTATAAAGTATTATAAGAAATAATAATCTATCTAGATTTCGAAGGATTAAACTTATTATAGATCCTCTAGTTTAGCCCGCTATTCCTCGAGTACTTTAATAATAGCTAATATTTCCTTATTATATATATCGTATTTTCGTTAATCTTAATCTATAGTCTTCGAAAAGAAAGCTACCGGATACTATATCCTATTAGTTTCCTAGGATAGTACTATATCTAAGTAACTATCGGAAGTATCTATCTCTAGGCGTATAGGTATATTCGGATTATAGTAGCTTAATACTAGAGTAG